GTGATCATTTCTTCCAGACACTAGAATGACCACTTGACAAGCAGTAAAATTACAGTTCAGTTGGCTTTTATCAGAAGTTTCATGCTGTCAAGTGAAAGAAATCTTACTGATTATAAGTTGAGGAGAATATTCTCCTCTCTATTTGTAATCTAACGCCTTCAGCATCAATTTTCGGATTGGAGTACCTGCAGATTAAAATGATACATTTTCTAAACTGTAACTGCGATGGAATCTCAACTGCAGTCTTACTTAAACATGAATTTCAGTGTTGTGTTTCATTTTTTACCATTAAGTAAAGAAATGGTATGCAGAATATCTCGAATGTTGTATTGCTAGTTTCTTCACCTTACTTAACAATGCTCTGGAAGACGAGCCTAATTGTATTTTTGACTAGGATGTAAAATATGTTATGGTGGAATGCTGTTGTAAACGATATCATACTAAATTTACCCACCATAGTTTTCATTTGAACACTTCGGATAACGGACTGCAGACGGTTGGTTGAAGGAGGTTGTGCAATACTTTGACTGCCATAAAGCTTTGACAGTTTACTAAGCGAATACAGTCAAATTCAGCAACAGTAAATTTCGATCATATTTAGGAAATTCAGTAGTGAAATCAGTAGTGAAGAAAAATGCTTTGTAGCTGCAGATTGAAAAGAAGAGTTTAGTAATAAGATGTATAGATTTGGAAGTAATCCTGTTGAATTCAAATGACAATTGGCTTAATTATTTTAATAAAAAATTACTGATTTCGTATGATTTTTATTCAAACTAACAGCCACTTAACTTCTTCAAACATAAATCAGTTAGCAGTGTACTATTGAAGAATTAAGCCTGAGATATTCGTGACATATACTTCTCAATGTGGAGACTTGTTAGAATTTGTTGATTCTAAGGAATGACATCAGTCGGAGAAATACAAGGAACCTCGGATTACTGGACAACAGTTTCATCCGAGTATTTAGAGTCTCCAATAGTGCACATTTGTGACTCTGCCAAAGATAAGAAGCAGGACCTACACGAGTGACAGTTAGCAAGTTACCATTCAGGGACAATGTCGGAATCTACATTTCCCCACCTCCCACTTTCTCCAGACTACACCTTCATGAGGTAGAAATTTTCTTTAAAATTTTGTGTTCGTAAATTATGAAGTCGTCAGAATAATGGATACTGAAACAGATTTTACTCGAAGTCTTTTGGTTGTTAAACAACATTTGCAGTCGTATAACCAATGAAAGAAGGTAATAGTATCGATGAATCTCATAGCGGAAAACATGGTTATGTTTATTGGGTCGCAGACATTGGTGTTTTCACGTGACGCTACTGAATTTGGCAATTTCGCTTCATTTTGTCACACACCACTTCAAAATGAAGCCAACATATTTACCAGTGAACAGGATTTAGTAGTAGTTTAAATAAAACTAAAATCCTAGTTTGGATGCCAAATGTTTCTCTATCTCTTAGACCTCAAATGAATTCTCTTCATTTACCAAGTTTAAAACTTTCCACTAGGTCGCAACGCTGTAAATCAGACAATACACTTTAACTAGTAGAGAAGCTTGAATCACTAACCACTAATCAGTATTTTGGCTTCAGCATTGGGTAACACAAACTGCCGATTGAACATAAGTTGAACAAGAATATTTAGCCACTCGCACTGGAAAATTGCACACTGTTCACACAACCGAAGAGTTCATTGGGCTGTTAAGTCTTACAATAATCTCATTGTTATGCGTTCATAAGGTTGGCATTCCTTTCATTCAGCTTAAAATCTCTGGTATTATTCACAGGTATCGTCGGTTGAACCTCGGACTCATTCTCAAATAGAATCACATTAATTGCTAGAAATAATGAGTTAGATAATGAGCCATGAACTTAAGCAGTACTATATCTCGTCGAGGTTCTACTCTACCTAGTTATCAATGAGAAATGAATATTAGAAAACATTTTCATGATTTACCTCATTCATTTCAGCTCTCGAGTTTTCTCCCAATTTGTCTTCCATTTATATTCAGTTTGAAGGGCTTAATCTGTTTTGTCATTCTACCCTTTGTGCTTCTTCAGTTCACATTGATAAGTTAACGTCGTACTGCTATCAAATCGAAAGGAAGAAACCTTTTCCGTAGTAGGTCTTTGTTGATATACTGGCTCCCGATTGGTGATTCAGTTGGTTTACTATATAAAGTTAGAATTCACATAGTTCCACGTCTTTCATTCCACTTAACCTATCAAATCGAAAGGAAGAAACCTTTTCCGTAGTAGGTCTTTGTTGATATACTGGCTCCCGATTGGTGATTCAGTTGGTTTACTATATAAAGTTAGAATTCACATAGTTCCACGTCTTTCATTCCACTTAACCTGACCGAAAATGTTGTTGGGTAACTGGTCAGTTGAAATAATTCTAATGTAAACTCTTTTCGAGTTAGATAACAAACATAAAAGTACATCTTCGTTTCACTCCCTCTGCCTCATCTGGATATAGAAAATGCGTTTATTGTCACGCTTCAACTGACGACAGTGCTGTGTAATTTATTTCTGATTTGCATGTCTAACTTATCTCTGATATGTCAGCTGTAGCTGAGTGAATACAGGTTAACATAGTAACTTCAAGTTTCCTTTGTCATAATTGAAATATCTATCACTATTATAACTCACTACTGAAATCTTCTAGCTGTAAGTGAATTTAAATCAGTTAACATCAATGGTTATTCGTCATTTTAGGGAAATTTGTGAAGTGATAACAGTGACAGTCGACGTCAAGTAACGATGATGACTCGTCTTGATGGCATATGAACACGACATTGCAGTGTTATACACCCAGAGGTCAGATAGAGTGAAAACTTCTATTCAAGCTATGAATAGCTTAGAAGGCAGTCAATGTAAACGAACATTTTCAATTACTGAAACAAAACTCATTGATTTATGAAGTTGAGAGGACTGAGGAGGTTCTGTTGAGCATCAGCAAACAGTTCATGATTACACAACGGTCACTGATATATTTGCAGATATCTGTCAAACAAATAATCATTTACAAATCAATTCTTATATCTTTTTGAGGAATTCAACTACATCCATCGATATCTTATGATATGAAGGACTCTTCTTTGATGCTGAGGGACACATTGAGTTCACCATAGTACAGGAGAACAATGATGACTTCAGCTTTTCTAAGCTCCGTCCTACGATATCATTTACCTACAGAAATTTGTCGATAAATATGAAAGATCTTAAGACAGCGAATAACAACAGATTAGAGTAAACAAGAAACCTGTTTTCATTGAAACCAAGTTAAAAGGTGACAACACATTTGGAAGGATTACTAGAAGGCTCAAAGCCACAATAATGAGACCATATCCTGCAGTCAAGTTGTCTCTTCTCAAAGCAACAATATGCTCTTGTGTAAAATCCAGAGCAGATTGGTTTTCTCCCCAAGTTAACCCGAATAGTGCATGCGAGTTAACGTGCAGTTAACTTGCGGTAGCCGGTACATCGGGAAGATGGAGACAGGTGGCATGCATCCGATTGCTTGGACAAGTATCAAAAACTTGCATCTCAAGAGAATATGAGCTTATCAACTCATAGCACGAAGTATGCACATTAGAATCCTCCAAGTTACTTGACAAACAACCTAACTGAAACCTTCTCAAATTCTGGGAAGCCACAGAGAATAAACGACTGAGAATGGAATTGTATGTTTCAAATGAAACAGAAGAGATCTTTTTGTGCCTTGATAACCTAATGATTCACTCCTCTTCCACTTATTTGGTGATGTCATCTCCACTCATACAAGTTTTTAATGATTGTTCCCCTTACTAAGCTGAACTCATTTCACTATTACATATAATTTGTCTTGAGTGTTTTACTTACAAGGTACAATGGAAGAGGCGAACACTGAGTGCAGTTTCGACTCTGAAATGTGGATTTCCACAGTTACTTGTTTTTCACATGCGTCACACAGTGAACAACATGTCATTCTCAACATCGTTTAAACTTCTTTGAACAATGAAATGCAGAGAAAAGAAAGAATAACCTGGAAGATAGAACGCTCAGGTTTACCATGTGGATGATTTTAGTTTTCCCTCCTTGATTCCGAACAAACATATACCAAAGTATTTTTCACCATCTTTCAAGTCAGTATCAGTACCAACAGTTATTTAATTTTACTTGTCATACATCTTTAGTGGGAAACCATGTGTGATTAGCTGTTTAGGGTATTTGATAGTTTATATTTGTAAGAGCCTTTGATGAACAGTTAGTGCACTGACCATCGGGCGAATTTAAAACAGAATACACTATAGAATTTATACGCTTTCACATCCCATGCCGTTTACAACATAGCTCTTCATATATGATAATAATTCAATAATTACCAATACCAGAAATGCACGTGAAATGGATGTTGTAATCCTAGGCTTCTAGTAGTATGAATGTTTATGCACACTTCTCTTGGAAGTAGTTAGATATATCTCAGATATTTCCGGTGAAATATTTTGCAGGATAATGAATGTGCAAATGACGTACAAATTGTACAGTCCACTAAGTTGGTTTTGTCAACTGCGCATTTCTGATTTCAAATAGGTTTTCACTGGAAACCACTTAGTTGATATCACGAAATATGACACAAAAGTGTCATGAACTATCGAAAGGTACTACTACTGAACAACTTGAGTCGTTAGAAATCACTCAGGCTGTTCTGTCGATTCTGCTGAGAAGTCAAATCGGAGTGATCTAGACACGGGATGGCTGCTTAGCTCGTTTGGGGATGATCTCATTGACATAGACTGTTCAGTTTGTAGATCATTTTTCACATTGATCACCCAAATTAGCTAACCAGATTCATATGATTTCAACTAATCGAGCTTAAAGAGCTGAATTTTTCAGGGAACAGCGCTGTTGAACTCGAACGCAACCGAGTAAAAACGTCATCCAGTACTTAGATTATTTTGACCTGGTTGGGGAAATCTACAGATCAGCCTAAGTGGTTTCTAACTACTCAAGTCATCCAGTAGTAGTAGTAGTGGTAGTAGTAGTAGTAGTAGTAGTAGTAGTAGTAGTAGTAGTAGTAGTGGTAGTAGTAGTAGTAGTAGTAGTAGTAGTAGTAGTAGTAGTAGTAGTAGTAGTAGTAGTAGTAGTAGTAGTAGTAGTAGTAGTAGTAGTAGTAGTAGTAGTAGTATCTTTTCATAATTGTTGTCTCTATTCACCATTCCTCTGCTGTTATATACCCGACGTCGTTAAAATCGTTTCCATTTTATTTTAATTTCTGCACATTTTATCAGTTAATTTAACCACAATCGGATGTAAAGTTAAAGTTTTATGTCATAAATAAGCTGGAATGCAGAGATGAGTTATCATCCATATAGTCAATGCCAATGTCAAATCTTTGGAATGCTTCAATTTATTGACAAAATAGCATCGGTTTGTGAAGTTCAGTTTTCCCAAAATATCTGGTGAATATTCACACACATTTCTCTTCATTGAATCACCTGGATTGATTTTATTAGCTGAAAAATGTTTCCTTTAGTGCTACACCATGTGAATTGTTCCAGTGTGATTTCCTCTTGGCTTGATTGGCATTTCAAAGATGATTGACACAGTGGATGGATCTGTTTATTTTCCAATTTACATTATGATTTCTCACTTCAGCCTTGAAAGTGCATCAACACAATGACGAATTGTGTCAGCTTGTTGCTTCTTCTTTCAATCTGTTTCATCGACCAATGTTGATATATTCACTAGAATGTGAATTCGCCAACATAACCAGTAAATTCATTCTGATAAAAATTCAATGACCTTGTTGTTAACGCTCTGGCTTTTGAAGCACTTAGGACATTGATCTGACAATGAAGACCAAGCACTGATCAATGTATTTAATCCAGTCCTACAGAATGACAATCGCTACTCCAATAGCTCAGTGATAACGTCTCCTAATGGGGCACGTCAAAGAGTGAAAACATCTACACCATGGTGACAGGTTTCCAGTCACTTCACCAAACATCCTCAACCAATGATTTTTATTAATTCAAAGACCCTACCTAACCAGGTAGTCTTCACCTCCCTATGTAGGTCACACCAACACTTACAGACATCATGCACTCATATCAAATCTTGATCTGGTCAAACTAAATCTGTTTTACACAGAATTCATACTTTGACTAACATTCTGCCTCACAGAAAGACATGCCTCAGCATGCCCAACACATATCCAAGTCACCTGAGTCAATCAATTTTGATATAATCATTGACTGATATGCGTTTCATGCTTTGTACCTTTAGCCTAACCTTGATGTTGTTTCTTTAGTGATTGCACCGTACGCTAGCGTTACTACGAAGACACCTGTGGTCAAAAACCTTGTAATCCTTTCATGTCTTCCACTCTCAGTGGCCATGTCTTGTGGCTGTTTAGAAGGAAAGAATGGTCTGCAACATAGTTTGCTCGTCCTTTGACATGTAGTTGGATGTGCCATCAATTGGCGCCACAGATGATTCAGGTTTGCGAAGACCTAACTGGCCTTTTCTATCCAAGCTGAGATTTCGTCAGCAACTAGCACGTTCTCCCTGACACAACTCCCGAAATAGACGAAGTAGTCAACGCATTCAACCACTTCACCCCTTATCCTTTCACTGAAAGTAGTTGAACACCAGTCCTTGAGTATTATCTTACACTTTACAGGTGTGAAATTCATGCCAGTCTCACATACGCACAGTTATGACTAAGGTATTGTTAAGGTTCTGATTATTACTAGCTTCTTCACTTAGCAGGGAAGTGTCACCAGCTTACTCCAAGTTGAGTAGATGAGCCTCAGAGAGTAGTTCAATCCCTTTGAAGTTAGAAGTACCCAAGGTTATTTGCATTATTACATCTGCAGTGGAGTGAAATAGGAACAGTGACAGTAGGCATTGCTGGTGGCTACATCTGGTTATCAGCAATTAAGATGACAGCTCTCCATTTATTGTTACACGGCTCCATGAGTTCGAGTAGAGAGTACTGATTGGCACTACCCACTTGCTCGGTACTCCCTTTCTAGTTAGTTACAGTCACAATACCTCACATTGACTGAGCTGAATGCTGTTACTTTGCAAAGACACTTGTCACGATTAACTTAAAATCTTCGGCTGGTAAACCACCAGGTGCTTCTGCTTTGCATCATTCCCAGCTTAAAACAGCTAACTGAACGTTGATGAGATATGCACGACCGACATTTGCATCCCATTCAGGTTCAGGCTGAATACTAGGCAACATAAGCACTGCTATGTGTCAGTTGAACTGTTTCAAATTGTTACAGCCAACGTTCTAGTTGTCTATTCTGAAAGGTTACCATGGTTCACTATCCTTTTTGATGAAGATTGCACTAACCATTGTCTTCGTTTTGCCAGTATGCCAAATGAGCCTTAATAATTGCCAAGTGATAGCCAATGCTGTTGCTGTCCTCATCGTTTTCGCTTTCACTTCCACCACCCACCACTTCTTACACTCATTGCAAAGACTCTTGGTCATTTTACCTTTAATTTGCCTTCATTCTTCTTTGTGGCCAGATCCAACTGCAGTGAGTCTTCCCACCAGAAGCAGTTTGCATGAGGTTATCGGAATCCATTGACTTTTATTAACCTCTGGAAATAGATTACCAACAGCTTTCATTGCTGTTTCTATACTAGACCTAATATCACGGCAGACTTCCTCTTGTCGAGGATTTCTGTCACTTTCAGATAACTTTCTTGTTTTCTCTTATCAGAGTTCACACCTGGTGTCTTCGTCTCTCAAATGAGCACAAGCAGGCTTCATTGCCACCTGTTTCCGGTGAACAATAAGTCACGAACATACATGTGCCTGCACTAATGTATTATTGGAGTCCAGACAGATACTGCACAAAGGGTGGCGATCCTCCATCGATCCTCTCCAATGATGACCTTTAGCACTGAAATCTGGCTATATCCATTACTGGTTTGATATTGGTGAAAGGTGTGTGAGTCGGTGTCACACATTGTGCTTGAAGTAAGTGCTGATCAAAAGCAAGTGATTTTCAAAACAAAATTGTAACAGAAGATCACTCTCGATGGTTAGCTAGTCTCATAATCCTTCCTATTTCTTACAGAACTTTCCAGTTAAACATCTCATAGATGACTGTTGGCTGATATGCAGTCACAAAGTGCTGTTTCTTCTCTGCAACTCAGTCCTTTGCTTACACCGACAAGTCAACGAGAACTAACCATTAAGTCTCTGTATACTTGCAGAGTATATTTTAGAAGACCCATCAAACTGTCTAGGTGAAGTTGAGGTAATAAGCGCACATAAATGCGATTATGACTCAGGATTCCAGATTTCATTCGGGTGACGCTTGCTCCCTGGGTTTGCATACAGTTCAGACGTTGAAGGCTTCAGTAAGAAATCGATGAGTGTATCTAAGATGCCTGAGAATAAAGTTTCAACAGCTTTGATGATTGGCGATGGGAAGAGAGTAAGAGATTGAGGAAGTTGTAAGAGGAGGTGAAGACAAGTGGTAAAATATAAGTGAGTGAAGTAGGTTTTATTTGATTGGATTATGTGTACTACTGAAAGTGTAAAGGTGGTTGGCATTACAGGGCAGGGCTGGTCAAACTGAGTTAGTTGTTCTACTAGACGCCTTAAAGAGGAGAAGGGAAACATTTACGTGGGTGGAGAGCCTACTGGACGTCTGATTGAGGTGGGTCAAATGTGGCTGTTTTCAGGGCCTAACATCTGAGTTTGTTATTCTCCAATTCGAAAATGCAGTGATGCCAATAGCAACAGTGTGCCGCAGGGTATAAGAAATTGTGCTATTCTCAGGCCCTCCTGCCTCCCCATTCAGAAGGTAGTATCAGTAGGATATTCTGGTCATCCTCAAAATACACCTGAGTGCTGTCACACCTCCATTCAAGCCGTCAGCAACCAATCTAGTTTGTTTGTGAATGAGTGGAATACACAATAGATGGTGTATCAGTCACAGTAGGCTCTTCAGCCGAATTCTTCATTCACAAATGTACTAATCATGCTTCGGAGTAAGTTGGCGACTATTTCCAGTGGAATTGACACATGAAATTGTGTTTTCGCTTTTGTGAGATGGCCAACAGTTTGTCAAGCTTTAACTCACCGTACATTCAACCAATATTCACAATCTCCTCATTCTTATCATATCGTTGTGCCGAGAGTTATAAAAATTTCCGACCTTTCAAAAATGAATTTCACAATTGTAGGGTTGTTCTCGCTAATCTTTTGCTCCAAATTCCGATTACTTACACTGCTTACAGATGAGTGGATATCTTGATGAAACTAATAATGACTAATTGTCTACATTTTATATTTCCCGTTGTTATTGTGGTTGTAGCTGGTCGACGTTTGTTGGCATATGAGCTTCTATATGGGACTTGCTTGATGATACATTGTTATAATTTACCTCTTGTTGGTTAGCTTAGAGATTGTTTTCGAGCCTCGGTGGCCTAGTGGATAACACTTTGACCTTTCAAGCGGTGAGATTGTGGTGAGAACATCATTCCTCACTGGGCTACAGGTACATCCAGTCAACGAATCTCAAATTGGATGGAAACCTTGTCTCGGATTGCACAGATAGGCACCATGAAGGCAATAAAAGCTACTTATCACTTATAGATAAGTAAACGATGAGTTTTCAGTGCTATATTCCTAGCTAAGAATGAATGAAGGATGGTTAACGATGAAAGTCATCACGCGTGTTCCCTATGGAAAGTGACAGGCTGAATATAAAGTAAGAATGTAACTGAGGTACATCTCAGGTCGGAAGATGTAGCTCATCAGTTTGGTGAGATGACTTTCAATCAGTTGGTCAAAGATTTCAGCACCGCTTCGCCTACCAATATCTTAACAGGCAGGCAGGTAGTAGTATAAATGGCTCTCATAAAATGCATGTGGCTCATTGTCTACTTCACGAATGTGCACTGGGCTTGTGAAGGTGCATTTCGATTCCTTTATTACTTTTTACTAGCTAAACAAGGTGTACAAATGTAATTACCAACAGGAGCTGGAAAAGCGAAATGTTCACCACTGTTAAATGAAAATATTTCTTTACAAGAAACATTTCACGTGATACCAATTCTAGCGTATTTAACAAATAACATCATACAAATACGGTACAGTGATCAGTGAATCCGCTTTTCAGTCCAATGCTTAAAAACGTGTAAATTAGCCGATTTTCAGTTACACTGAACATGCCCAATATTGAAAATGGTCATTATTGTAAAATAAAGCATCTACAAGTGGA